ACCTAACCTCATCTTGTTAGCTCTCCACAAGCCTCCCGCTTTTCTCGGAGGGGCTCTGCGAAGACGGACGAGTGGGCACTTTCCCTCTTGGGTTTCCTATGGAGGGAGCAGTGCGGGGCAATGTGGTCCAACACCGCAAGGATCCAGGTGCTTCACAGGCCATAAGACCTAAGGGCCCAGTTTAACCAGTTAGTGTGTTATTTCCCAACTTTAGCCCTGAAAGTATTCACTCAAGCCGGGAAGCCCTCTGCGGTAATAAAACCACCCTGCCTGGCTCTGAGATGCTTGTAACAATTACCTGCAAAACTATGTATTTAATATACACCATATGCAAATTACATTACTAGAGCGTATTTTACTGTTATTATAATATCGTCAACTGTCTGTGTGGGTATTCACATGTCTTCCACTCTGGACTGAAAGCTCTGTCATCCGGCAGGAGGCAGGAGTGAGGGACTCACTCAGCCCAGCACCCAACACACTCGGCTCCGTGAGTCACTGGTGATCAGATGGACAAGCGAGCGCCACACCGCTCCCCCGCTTCCCTCCACAGAAGCTGGGTTCTTCCTTGGCCTCGAAACCCTACACGACCTGACAGCTCCTTAGTGCCTCACGGCTCCAGGAGCTCCTGCACACACCGTCCCTGGAACCTACTGGATCCCACGACTGGGCCACGCTAGAACCACAGCTCATCAGAGGTTTGCTTGGGGGTGATGGCACTCAGCGTTTCTGACTCCCCACAGGCAGAATTTTTTCTCCTGGAACATTCCGCCTCCCATATCCAGAAAGCTTTAACGCAGCCTCTGAAAACATCAGGCTTAATTTCTAGGTCACTTTTCTCATCGCTGTGAAATTGTCATAACCGAAGACTTAATAACAAGCGAGTATTTAGAAACCGTCACCGCGAGGAAAATCATCACTAACTCCAAGAAGCTCAAAATGGAAAAACTTCAAAGTATCGCGTCCCCATTAGCACGGCAAGAAATAAACACAGAACAAAGACGCTGTGGTTCCAGCTCCCTTGATGGAGGTGCCTCCCACGGCCACATCCTGCTTGTCTAGAAACCCCAAAGGCCTAGCCTCGCAAGCCTGATCTTCCTCAGATCGTCTCACCCCTGCAAACGCCCGCTCCTCCCGAAGACACAGCATTCGCTTAGAGCACACAAGGACAGAGATGCGGGCTTCTCACAAGGATAAGAACGGTGAAAAGAAAGGAAAAACAAGAAAATGTTACTTACAACCTAGAGTATATTTTTATATATTTGAAAGGCTTGTCCTTCTGTCAATTCCACATTCCACTTTTAAGTTGTTACAATATCGTAGATTCATTATAAACACCATGAGGGCTTCCTCTCTTGGTATCTCTGGTGTCATATGCTGAACACTCACTCGCACACCAAACCGCAAAGATTTTGCCTGCCCATGTGGCGGCAAGCAAAACTATCACAAATCACCAAACATCAGGCAATCTATGTGCTACACAGATACACACAGAAAGTGCTGAGAGTAAAGGCAATAGATTAGGGACGTTGAAAAAGACTTCATGAAGAGTTTAGCCTCAGAAGACAAACAGGGTTCAGTAAGGCAAAAGAAACACTAAAAACAAAACACAGAGAACTAGCACAGCATTGGTGCAGTGGAAAGTCAAATTTCATTAGAACAAGAGGTTCACAGATCGGGGACAAGGCTGGAAAAGGAATCTGAAGGCACAGATTATAAAGGTCCTTAAATAGAGCACTAAAGACATTGTGGGCTTTACCACGTAGGCGACTCGGGGCATCACCTAGCTTACCAGCAGCATTAACACAGGAGTCAGACTCACACTCCGCAGCGGTCTTCCTGGGAGCTGGGTAGGGGATGGGTGGACGCAGAGGTCACAAGGAAAATCAGACAGAAAGTCACTTCCCGGACCAAAACAAGAGTTGGGAAAGCCCTGAGAGCCGCAGCAGCAGCAGAAATAGAGAGAAGGGGAACAGGAAGATCAACACATCTTCTTCAACAAGACTGAAAAGAACGATGAAGAGGAGTGACAAAGGTAAGTGACATTTCTTGCAGGAACCCAGAGGTCACGTCATTAACCACATTAAGGAGTCAAAGAGAGACAGCGTTTTTGTTCTACTTGCTTTTCCCTGGAAGGGGAAGATGAACGTTTCCCTGTTTTGAAAGCAGTTGTTTGTTTTGCTTCATTTTAAATTTATCTGTGGGATGCCGGGTTAAGCTCCAGGAAGAGCTTTGAAATAGGAGACTGGTCCTCAAAAGGCACATGAGTGACAGCTGAGGCTGTAAGATGTAAGATGCTGGGAGATAAATTTTTAGGAGTCAGTGATTTCCAAGCCAGAAGGGCAAAGACAGATTCCAATTCAGTTTTCAAATAAAATCCACCTACGAAGGGTGGAGGGATATGATAAGCAGAGAAAAGATGACGGCAGCAAAACTGAACTCACAGTTCTATGACCAATACCAACAGTGTTCACACACTCACAGACCACAAAACACACCAACAATCAGGACACCGACGACCGTAGCTGAATGCTACAGGAACACAACATACAGCGTATGAGAAAGGAGAGAACACAGCCACGTAGCAAATCCCAGTGCCAATACTGACTACACAAACCACGAGACACTAAACGGCAGACCACAAATTCCAAAAGCCTGCAGAAAAGAAAGAGGCAGCCCAACTGGGAAATCAGCAAGACCCAAGCACAGTTCCATCTGTCAGCTCACTGTACAGATTCCTCCCCTCCACACCAAGCTTTTGATCTAGAAAAACCACAAGGGCCATGGTCAGACGCGTATACGTTATCATCTAGTTATCTAAAAGGGGATACAGAAGCTACGTTCCTAAAGAACACGGGAGAGGATTTTCACTGAGGGTACCAGGTAAGTAACCAATCACCTGGATTTGAAATATCCTTATCGTGCACTCATGTGTCCCCATTTTCTTTTTAAAAACAGGGGAACTGGAGACATAAGGCAAAAAAAAGGTGGGGTCTTTTGTAATTAGGATGGGGCTGGGGGGCATGAGCAGAAAAAAAAAAAAAAAGTTACAAAATGCTCAGCTTCCACTGGCACCAAACAAACAGCCACAGTAAGAGCAATGTTGGGCATGTTCTAAAACTATGCATTTCAAAATACTTTTATGCCTACCCTTCGCTGAAGTGGCAAGATATAATGGAACAATAATTCGGGCAAAGCTGATACTGGACCCACTTCTGTCTCCAGTGCCTACCTATATTACTCAGTAAATTAGCCAAATTCAGTCTGCTCATTAGTGAAATGAGCTTGTTTGCATGGGTCCACACCAGAGGCCTCCTTTCCTTTTATCTCCCTTAATTTACCGGAGCAGTGCCAGACCCCAGCAGGCACTCACTAGGTGCCACCGTCCTTTGTTCCAGAGGACTCTATTACCTCCAGATCCATGGGAAAATCACTAACTTCTTGAGGCATCCATTTCCCTGCCGGTAATGATGCCTCGCAGGGCTGTCTGCAGATTAATGAACGACTCTGTAAACCATACAGCGCAACACAAAATGTAAAACCCAACTGCTTCCCGGCCTGGTCAACAGTAGCAACTTTGGGACTGAAAACACCAGGAGGTCTGAACGACTCGCACCCGGTGACACCTGGCTAAGAATTCAGCACCTGCCCTAGTCCCTCCCATCACCCCATTCAGCTTGCTGAGATCTCAACGTTCTCTGAACAAGCCAAGCTCAAGGCCTTCCCACATCACCCTGATTTTCTTAATAGTCAGAGAAGGGGGACTCCGACGAGGGAGTCGGAAGAGGACACGATCAAATGACTCGCCCAAGGTCAAAACACCAGGGTAGAAAAGGAAATGCCGGCTTGTCAGCCACCGAGGCCACATCCCCCGTGCCTCCTTCTGCAACCGACGGGGAACGACCCGCTCCCCGCTTCCCCCGCCGCAGGACGCAGTGTGGGGGCGCCCCCCGCCCTCCTTCGTGCACGCCCCGCCGAGCCCCTCCCGCCCGGCCGCCCGCGGCGGACCCGAGCTCCTGCACCGCTGCGCTCGCCCCGGGCCCTCACGCCCCCCGCGGACCTGCTCCCGCCCCGCGAGGCCGGACCCCGCTCAGGACACCAAGAGCTTAAGTGTCCACACGGCAGGGCCCCGCCCGCGCGCTCCCTGCCACGTCCGCGGCCTCACGCACTATGGCGCTCCGAACCGGGCCTCCCGCCGCCGCCGCCGCCGCCGCCGCCACCGCCGCCACCGCCGCCGCCGCCGCAGGGCCCGGGCCGCCCGACCTCCCAGTCCCAGCGTCCCCAGGGCAGCGCCAGCTGGAGCAGGCCGCGGACTTCCTCCGCCAGCTCCGCCCTAGCCGCGGCCCCGGGAAGAGCCCGCCGCCAGAGCAGACGGACTGCTCGCACGTCCAATCGGAACTGCACGCGGAGGGGGCGTGCTGACGGACTGCTTCAGCGACCAATAGGAGCGCGAGCGCCCAGGGGGCGCGGCTACCGCCAGCGGGCCCCGCCCCGCCCGTGCTTCCGCTGGGGCCGAGGAGCCGAGTGGAAACTTTCCCAGAGTTCCTCCGAGCTCCCGCGGACCGGAGGAGGGGTCGCGGCGGGGCGGAGGGGGCCGGCGGAGGTTGGGCGGGGGAGGGGCAGAGGGTGGGGACGCGCGGGGCCCCACCCCCTCCCTGAGGGCCGGCGGCTGCCGGAGACTTGAGGGCGGCGGTCCCGGCCCCTCTCGAGTGCCGCCCGGCGCGGGCTCCCCCTCCTCCTCGTCCTTCCCGCGGCGGGCGTCTGTCGGGGCCGGGCGGATCGTGCCGCCGCGCGGAGCGGACGCGGCCCCGGGCGGCCCCTCACCCCTGGATGCAGCCCGGGCGGGCGGCCGCCTGCGAACGAGCCTGGGGCGCGTGAGCACGGCGGGACCCTCCCCGCGAGGCGAGTCGTCCGGGGGAGGGCCGGCCCCGCACGGGGCCGCTGGGGTCGGGGCGTCCCGGGGACCGCGGGGGGCAGGGCCGGCGGCCCGCACGCCCCCGCCCCCCACACCTGCGCCCGCGCCCATGGCTGCGCGCGGGGACCCGCGGCGGCTGCACCGGCTGGTGCAGGAAGGCCGGCTGTGCGCCCTGCGGCAGGAGCTGCAGGGAGCCGGGCGCGCGGACTGCGCGGCGCCCGCCGGGGACACCCTCCTGCACTGCGCCGCCCGCCACGGGCACCGGGACGTGCTGGCCTATCTGGTGGAGACCTGGGACATGGACATCGAGGCCGCCAACCGAGACTACAAGCGGCCGCTGCACGAGGCCGCCTCGCAGGGCCACCGGGACTGCGTGCTCTACCTGCTGGGCAGAGGAGCCGCGGTCGACTGCCTCAAGAAAGCCGACTGGTAGGTGGCCGGGTTCCCCAAAGACCCCCCCCCCGTTCCCCGCAGAGTCACGGGTCCCCGTGGACTTTTCCGCCTTGACACCGGAGCGTCTGAACCTCGCCCTGGAGGACAGATCAGCCTCTGCGAACAGCGGGGTACCCTTGCGGGGTTAACTGTTCCCAGTCCTGTTCCAAACCCTTTCTTTCCCTTTACGGAACAGTCTGGAACGCGATCGCACCGTGAATAGTCTGTGCTGCCTGCCGCGAGCCGCGCCGGGCTGGGTCACGACTGCCAGTAGCGTTGTTCTCACTTGTCCCTCTGGAGCAGAGGCTCACAGAAGGTTGCGAAGAAGTGTTCAGGGAAGCCCCCTGTGCCCCTCCCTCAGTCTCCCCCAAAGTTACCGTCTCACACCTCTACAGTGCAGTACCAAGACGAAGGAACCGACATCGCCACAACCCGTGTATTTTACCGCTTCCAGGACGTGTGTGTGGTTTTATCTCACGGATAGCCTGGCGTGATCAGGTCCACAGACGAGACGTTCCGCGGTTACCATCACGCAAACCAACTGCACTTCGTTAGACTTTTGTTGAGACGGGATGTCACTTGGGAGACAGTACCACTGTGTGGGGCTCCTGGAAGTGATGACATCCTAAGAGTCATAACGTAAAGAAGTTCCTGCCTGCAGGTGATTTCTGATCTGATGTCACTATGAACCCCAGTGGCTACACAGATAGTTAAGTAATGTGCTGTCTTGCCTGCTGGAAATGGGGGGTCAGCCCGCTTGATTGAGCACAAGACTGGTTTTCTTCTGCTGCTGGCGAACTAGTCTAAAGACCATTCCAACAGATGTAAGACCTCATACATGGCTCAGAACAATTCTGTGGCTAGGGGACTGGCCTCTCTGCAAAAAACCATTAAAGAGGCAACGTTCATTGGAGTATGTATGTGGGAGGTGTAATTGCAGTGAGTTTGCTTTTTTTTTTTTTAAGATTTTATTTATTTATTTGACAGAGAGATAGATCACAAATAGGCAGAGAGGTAGGCGGGGGGGGGGGGGGGGGGGCAGGCCCCCTGCTGAGCAGAGAGCCGGATGTGGGGCTCAATCCCAGGACCCTGAGATCATGACCTGAGCGGAAGGCAGAGGCTTAACCCACTGAGCCACCCAGGCGCCCCGCGGTGAGATATTTTTGCCTGTTGTCACCTTTCTGGCTTTCTGCAATACCTTCCCTGTTTTTTTAACCATCCTGCCTTGCTCAGGATTTATTTCCTCTGTGAAGTCCTTCTGGAAGAGTCCAGCCTTCATTTATCTGGGTTCCTCTCTCTTAATTTCGCATTCACTCTCCTTACTACATCCCCCCACCAAAAATATTGGTAATTAGCTAATATCATAGAAATCTTAGAAGACAGATCCTAGATGCGGCCTGTGAGGTCTCCTAGGTATAGTGAGTTCCTGCTGTGTGCCTGACACAGGTCCTAACCCCAGGAATCAGGAGGTAAATAAAACCTGCCCTTGCTTTCCGGGAGTTATGTCTCCCATGTTTTGCAGATGAGAAACCAGAAGCTCATGGTATAGAAATGTCTCACCCAAGATCATTTATGAAAAAAGGAAGGCTAGAGCCACTTTCCTTGTTATTAATGTAGTTTATTCCCATAATTGTGGACACAAACAGTTCAGAAACTTATTATAATCACACTGTTCCATTTGTGTCTCCAAAGTGTGCTCCTCGTGGGTAGGCACTGTATCAAATGTTCTTTTGTAGCCTTTTTTCAGCACACTTTAACTAATAAACAATTACTGATTAAAGTGAATGGAGTATGTGCAGCAGAGTACCTTGTACACAGATGTTATTCAAGACGGGGCGCCTGGGGGCTCAGCCAGTGAAGCGTCTGCCTTCCCCTCAGGTCATGTTCCCAGGGTCCTTGAATAGAGCCCCACCTCGGGCTCCCTGCTCAGTGGGGAGCCTGCTTCTCCCTTTACGCCTCCTTCTGCTTGTGCCTGCTCTCTCTTTCTCCCAAATAAATAAATAAAATTTTTTAAAAATATATTATTCAGGACAAACTGTCCATGGTTTTCATTAACTCAGTTTGTCTCTGTCTCAGTTTGGTCCCATAGTTTAAACTGGTCTGGAAGCAGGTTTGCCTCCTCAGTAATCCCCTCCTGCAGGCACACCTGCATCCTAATTTCTCTCCCTTTCTTATTTCTCCCAGAGCCTCATGGTGGCCAGAAAAGTTGCCACTCCACACAGATTTGCTGCTTCTCAGACCCGAGTCCTCTAGGTTTTCCACCTCTGCCAAGGACGTGTGCATTTCTGAACACCCAGCCGCTCACTTGTAATGTCTCAGCTGCCCTTCCGTCTGACAGTTTCTCCTGATTGGCCTTAGGACTCCTTTGATGATGGCCTGCACAAGAAAAAATCTGGAGGTGATCCAGGACCTCGTGGAACATGGCGCCAACCCACTTCTGAAGAACAAAGATGGCTGGAACAGTCTCCACATTGCTAGCCGAGAAGGCGACCCTCTGATCCTCCAGTACCTGCTCTCCGTGTGCCCCACCGCCTGGGAGACGGAGAGCAAAATCGGGAGAACGCCGCTGCACACGGCAGGTATGGCCGGGAGCTCTGCAGGGGCTCAGGCACAGGTGCGCAGGCCGCTCCCCGGAGCCCGCAGAACGCCTTCTAGTTAGGGGCACCCACAGGGCTGCAGGGGTCTGTGAACTCGCGGGCCAGGAATAAGAGCAGCTTTGGGGTATTTCGGCGCAGAGTTTGTTCCTGCGGCTGATGGAACGTGGCCCATACATGCTCTTCTCTCTCGTATTCGTGTGTCTCTGTCCTGTCCGCCCCAATTTGTTGGAAAGCTCATTCTGTTCTTCACTGTCTTTGACCTTGGACAAGGGACTGAGTCTCTTAAGCAAATGTCCTCATCCCCAAAATAGTGATGACAATGATGCCACGTCGCAGGGTCGCGGTACAGGTTACGGAACATGATGTATCGAAGTCCCTTGACACACACTGAGCACAGAACAAACAGGTGTGGCTCTTTTCAGGATCATGTTTACGTTGTCACTGTTACCCGCATGAGGAAAAGAGACAGTCTTGCCCTGTATCTTCACCGATACCTACCACAGTGCTAATCCATTTAAATAAATCTAGGAACTTGTAATTGAGTACCTGCCTGAGTGTCTTTGACTTATCAAGTGATGATGTCAATAAAAATGTGGGATACAACTACTTATCCTTAAATCTGATTTATCTAGTCATAAATCATTTTAAATTAGTGGAAAGCAAAAAGTGCTGTGATGGAAGACAACACAGATAAAGACCTCAGGAATCCAGGTCAAGAAATATAAAAAGTGATCTGTAGCCTTCTGGATAGTACGTTGAATTAGAGTACAGGGCCTTGGTTTCTCAAAGCATCACTACCTGTGACATGATACAGTTTAGGAAATATTGTAGCTCCAGGGAGCAGTTAGGGACCAAGGAATTCTTTTTAAATCTTGATGGGTGAGTAGAAGAACTTTGCTCTGCTACGAATTGTTTGACCAGTTCCCCTAGAAACGATCAGCCCCTGGCCATTCACGGAAGAGAGTGGAGAACAGATAGTTGAAATCTTTATTCCTGAGTGTCGTTCTCTTTAGTAGGAGAATTACATTCCTCCTTATTTTGTCATGGATCATTATTAATATGTTTTACATTTCCTGGGCAAAAACTGACCGGCCCTAAGCATTTGCAGCACAACAGTGGAGGAAAGTTTAGGACTGAGAATCCGCCATGGACGTGCTCACAAAGACAAGATAGTTGAGTGTTGACTCAGTGCCTATTAAGTGAAAACATCGTCGTTACCAGTTACCTAGCTAAATTTTTATTTTTCTAGGATGGTAACAGTGTCCCTGATTTAATTACTGTTTCCCATAAGTCCTAGCTAAAAGGCTGAGGCAGAGAGAGGAGGAAAGAGAAGTTTTATGAGCGCTCTGCACTCTGACTCTCTGCTCTCTTCTCCCAGCGATGCATGGCTGTTTGGACGCCGTGAAGGTGCTTCTCCACAGGTAAGAACCAAATAGCAAATGGACGAAAGTATTCACTAATTGTGGCGGTTAATGTCGATGCTACAGGAAAAGCTCAGAAAAATAGCTCAGAAAGAAACTCAAGCACCCAGAGAGAGATGAACAAAGGACATAACTCGAAGAATAGAAAACAAACATCGCTGAGTAACACGAGACAAGAAAAAAATCACCCATGTATTCAACCAGTTTTCATATGCTCAGAGCCTCAGCACCCACTAAGCACCGTGCCGGATGCACGGGCCGCAAGAGAGGCTGGCCGGCACGGGTCCCCTCGTGGAGCTCCCACACTGGCAGATGGGAGTCAGCGTTCACACCCTGCGAGCCCGAGGAGAACAAGGAGTCACGGGCTCCCTCCAGGAACATGTGCCAGGATGACCCAACTTGACTGGGAGGGAGGAATCTTGGCCCCTGGGATAGTCAAGCTATGATCTGAAGGAGGCTGAGAGGGGGAGGCAGGGCCCCATTCCAGACAGAGGGGACAGTCCCCGTGAATGCTCGGAGCCAAGGGAAAGCCTGTGCTGTAGCAAACTGAAGGTCCGCGTGTGCGGGCGCCTCCGGAGCAAAAGGATGAACAGGGCGCCGTGAGCAAAGGCCGACAGAGGGTGGACCCGGACAGTGTGAGGACTCGAGATTTTGTTGAGAGTACGCCGTGCCACGGAAGGGTTTTAAGCAGAGTGGAGGGCGGACAGCAATAAGAAGTTTGCATTTTTCAGAGATCCTCGGGTTGGAAAAGAGAGAGTGGATTGGAGGGGAGCAGGAGTGGGTGTCGTGAACGTCGGGAGGCAGTTCACCAGGAGAGACATGATGGTAGCTGGGCTAAGACACCGACTGTAGGGGTGAAGAGAAGGCCGCGGAGGTCTTTAAGAAATGGAATCAGTGGATTCAGGTGAATCATTTGATCACGGGAATGAGGGAAGAGTGGTCAAGGATGACAGGCTTCTCGCTGAGCAACTAGGGATGGTGCTGGTGCCATTTGCTGAGACAGAGAGCACTGGAGGAGGAGCTGGTTTGCTGGGAGGATGATAATTTCACTTTTGGATACGATGAGTTGTGTGTACCTGCGAGGTACCCACGTACAGATGTCGAGTGCCCAGCTGCAGACAAGATCCAGAGCCCACGGGAGGGGAATGAGCTGAGAAGCAAATGCAGGCAACACGGACCTAGAAATGACGATTGAACTCACGAGAGCAGAAGAGATTATCTGAGCAGATACTGAGTAGTAAGAAGAGAACAGGACTTCACCCAGTGCTGTGAGGTAGCAAAGGTCCTACTGTGAGTGGAGAGAAGACAGGCCTCCATGAGGTCATATGAAAGCTGTAATTGAAGTGAAGAAGGGAGAACCAGGGCCCCCTGGATAGCTCAGTGGGTTAAGCCTCTGCCTTCGGCTCAGGTCGTGATCCCAGGGTCCTGGGATCAAGCCCCACATTGGGCGCTCTGCTCAGTAGGGAGCCTGCTTCCTCCTCTCTCTCTTCCTGTCTCTCTGCCTGCCTCTCTGCCTACTTGTGATCTCTCTCTCTCTCTCTCTGTCAAATAAATAAATCTTTAAAAAAAAGGGTCGGGGAGACCAGTGCTCCAAGCAGAGAGGATCAGCACATGCAAAGGCAGCAAAAAGCTGGGAAGCTGGAGGAGAAGATAATGAGCAAAAAGAGGGTGGGAGAGGTAGGACCATGACAAAGGTAGAACAGGTGGGAAGAGGGGCCCAGAAGATACGATGGATAGGACCCTGAAGGGAAGAACAGAAGAAGAAAGGAGAGGCAGAAGGTAGGTCAGGTAGGAGGCAGGACCAAGAAGGAAGTAGGACAGATAGGCTCGCAGGAGGTAGAACGGAAGAAGGTAGGTCCACGTGGAGTTGGGACTGAGAGGAGGACCAGGGAGATGGCAGGACGGGTAACTGTGAAGAAGGCAGGAATGGAAGGCGGTCCCACTGGAGGCTGAAGTAGGAAAAAGGACAGGGAGGAACAGGAAGGATAGGACAGTGGAGCAGGTAGGGAAAGAAAAAGGCAGTATGGAGATGAAGGTGGGCAGGTGGGTGGTAGGACAGGGAAGGTGGGAAAAGCAGGACTGGGAGGATGGTGGGAGGAGGAGGAGGACCGGGAAGGAGGCAGGTGGCTCAGAGGAGCGTGGGGAGACTAGTAGATGCCTCATTATCCTGAGCTGGGTTGTGAGGGTTTAGATTTTCCTCTGTGATTGGGAGATAAAGGTTTCAGGGAGGACTGGCCATAACCATGGTGGTCTGGTGGCCATGAGAAGGGTTAGTAAGGCAGGAGCCACGGCGGGAGAAGTGGACCCAGAGCTGAAATTTTGGTGACTGGTCACGAGGGGGAGACGATGCCCATAAGCGGGGTGAGGAAGCCCGAGGAGGGGCTGAGTTTGGGAGCCAGGGACCGCGCTCCGGTCTCCGTGGCGCGTGTATGCGGCGGGGACCCGTCTGACCCGCCGCTTTGGGTTCATGCGGCAGGGGCCTGTACGGAGCCGACCGTGCGGACAGTTGCGGCTGCACACCCTTCATGGACGCGATTCAGTGCGGCCACACGGCCGTGGCCAGGCTGCTGCTCGAGCAGCACAAGGTACAGAAACGGCCCTTCCCGTGGGTCTCAGATCAGGGAGCACCGCCAATGTGGGGTCCGTGTCACGGTGGGCGAGGAGGAGGCAGACGTCCTTGTCTGGGGCCCCTGTGAGGGTCCCGTGTCGGGTGTGCGGGGAGCAATTAGGAGGAGGAGGGCCCAGCACGCTGCTGGTCCGCAGGAGTGACTGCCGGCCACCCGCCAAGGGTGCCGTGGCCGGAGCGTGGCATCCCCCATGATTGGCCAGAGAGGCTGTGGGGCTCCGCTGGAAGGTCCCCGCTCCTCACACATGGCCTCCTCTCCCCGGCCCTCCAGGCTTGCTGGGCCACGCAGGATGCCCTGGGGATGCAGGCCATCCACAGGGCAGCCGTCACCGGGCAGAACGAGGCCCTCCGCTTCCTGGTGTCCGAGCTGGGCGCCGATGTGGACACCAGGGCCGTACCCAGCCGCCTGACGCCGCTGCATTTCGCCGCTAAGGTTTGTCTCGGGGAAGACCTTCCCTCCGCGTGATGTGCCAGCTTTAGTTTGCACACGCCCTTGTTCCGTATTCGGGAATAACATTGTTTGCAGCCCTAAGAATCCCCCCACGTAAAGTCCTGCTGCTCTGTCCTTACACTAGACTCCAGAAGGGAGCATTTCGGCCGCGGACGCTCGCTGCTTACAGCCCAGCTTGGAGTGTTAGGAGTGTTTGGTCTTCAGCCGCACTGGCTGTATGCCCCGACTGGCTTTCCCAGCAGCAGGAATAGTTATTTCCCTGTGAGTGGCACTCTCCTGTCCCGCAGGAAGGCAGTGGAGAGATGAGGGGACCCACACCTGGCAGAGGCCATTGGGGAATGGATGGGACTCGCAACCGTGATTCCCTGTCTGTCCGGTCCTCGCAGCCTGGCCGGTTGGACAGGAATCCTGTCAGGTGACACGTGCTGGGATGTGTGTTGTGACGAGCGTCCAGGATGGGTCACGGTCTCCCTGTTTATCTTTGCTTTGAAATTCCAGCAAAGAGCGTGTTTGCTGGGAGATACTCTAGAAGCACGTGTTCCGTATGATTCGGGATGTCTGCTGCTGACTGTGGTCGTCGGTAATTTGGCCTACAGAGTAGACCCTCTGCGTTTTCATAACCACATGTCCCCCAAATCTCGAACCTGAAAGCCATGTGGGTCTTCCTGTAGTTGTGAAAATTCCATTGAGCAGCTGAATATTTTAGAAAAAGTACATGACACGCATTAGTTGGTGTTGAAGGGCTCGTTGGTGGCCTCGTCCCAGGATAACAAGTGTATCTCACCCTCAGGAAGGACATGTGAGCACAGTCCAGGAGCTCCTGTCCTTGGGTGCCGACATCAACTCCAGAGACGAAAGGAAGCGATCAGGTACGGTTTCGTGTCCCCTGCGGCTGGGGAGTGACTAGTGATGGATGTAAACGGCGCAGGGACTTGGCTGTGGAACACACGGGCTTCAGACGATCCCTCTAGCAGCTCAGCAGCCCGTCTTTGAACCAACGCGTTTGCGAAGCTCTGGAAATGTCGCTGTTGCCATGGCAGTGGCGGGGCCTGTGCTGGTCGCTGCTGTTCTGACCACTTTGCACCATGACCACGTGTGCGCCTGGAAGCACTGGCTGGTGGATTCAGTGGCCCCTAGTTCAGATTCTCCCGAGGCCATCTGTCTTTGGAGTGCGTTTGAAAACTAGAACTAGTTTTCAAAGATTGATTTATGTATCTTAGGTGGTGGGAGTGTGCAGAGAGAGAGAGAATCCCGAGCAGATTCCCCACTGAGCAGTGAGCCCAACGGGGGGCTTGATCCCAGGACTCTGAGATCATGACCGGGGCAGAAGGCAGACGCTTAACCAACTCAGCTGCCCAGCTGCTCCACTATAACTTCTTAAACGTGAGGCCCAGAAAGCTTTTCAGAGCTAATTCTTTAGACTCGGGTTAGAATAAGCCTCTGCAAACGCTGGGGGCACCACGGCGTCTGGCAGGCATCTGTGATGCTCAGGAGCCCCGTCCGAGGCTGCGAGGACGGTCCCTATGTCCAGGGACACAAGACTGTCTCCAGGACGCAGGATCCTAGGCTTCGCAGCGCCAGGAACCTGGAGCCCTAATTCCCGAAGGGGAACATGTGTCCGTTTGTTCATCACGTCATTCTCACTCATGGCAATGTTTTTACTGATGAAGAGAATTCACAAAACTTTTAAAATGGCTTCTGGGACATTTAAAGTTGCCTTTTCGTGAACCTGCTTCATTGCTTTAGACAAAAATCTCTTACATTCTCTCATTGGTTGATATTTTTAAAGCCATTTCCAACCCAGTCAGGTTAAAAAGGAAAATGCTCTGATCCCGTAGAGGCAGGGGCATAGGGAGGAATCGCAGAAATGTGGGAGGAGGATTGGTTTGGGGTTGTAGCCACTCGCCAGGTGGGCACCGCTACGGGGTCCTGCTCCAAGTCCGTGTGGCTTCTGTGTCCCCGCAGCCCTGCACCTGGCCTGCGCCGGCCAGCACGCGGCCTGTGTCAGGCTCCTGCTGCGGTCCGGGCTCAGTGACTCTCCGGACGCCTCGGGTGCCCTGGCTAGGCAGCTGGCTCGCCGCGCGGACGTCCTCCAGTGCTTTGGCTGCTGCCCCACGTCCTGAGGGTGCTTCTGAGCGAGGACGACAGGCATGGTGACCGCGTCCTGCTGCTACCGTCGTCAGGATCCCCAGCCAGTGGGCCGTGAGGACGCCGACTCCCGAGCCCAGTGACCCGCACGAGGAGACTTTTCGTGATCCGGATTTGGCTTTTTCTGCCCTTTGAGGGGAGTTAGGGGATGTTCTTGGAGTCAGTGTCTGGAGCCCTCTGGGAAGCAGGTGGCCCATGTGACTGTAACACACTATGAATTCACGTAAATATGTCACGTGTTTTGTGAGTGATGTCGTGGGGGGAGGCAAGGGCGAGGATGTTAATGGTACAAGGGCCGGAAACATAGCTGGCCTGCTGCTTCCTTCCTTCCTCGCTTCTTGGTTCATTACAGTGGTTTCGCTTTGGTTTTGTAGCCTGAAAGGGACGCCTGCCCAGACGTACGCAAGGAAATAATGGAAATATTTGTACATTCTAAGCGCTGCTGGTTAAGCTATGTTTATTGTTTTGTGTTTTTAAAGATTTTATTTATTTGACAGAGATCACAAGGAGGCAGAGGCAGACAGAGAGGGGGAAAGCAGGCTCCCTGCCGAGCAGAGACCCCCCCAATATGGGGCTTGATCCCAGGACCCTGAGATCATGACCTGAGCCGAAGGCAGAGGCTTTAGCCCACGGAGCCACCCAGGCTCCCCTGAGCTATGTTTTAATCTCGAGGTTACTTTCACTTAGTGGTTCTGCGTGGGCTGTCTTCAGATAATGAACACACCTAAGAGACGCAGCTGCGAGAGTCCCAGTGGAAGAATGGCGTTTGTTCTGCAAGCGCCGGCCGCACTTCCCATCCGGAGCCCCCTGCCCACTGCAGCCTGGGCGTGTTGAGGACACTTGACTTTGTAACCAAAAGTTCTGGAGCAGTTTAAACAGATCGAAGGGAGGCTGCATGCTCAGACCTTCAGATTCTTTTCCTTTTTCCTTTTGGGGGAAAGTGATAAAAACCATCTTCTCTGGGTCACAAAGAATAGTTAATCCAGGTTGGTCTTTGGAAATGACACGCATCGGGCACAGGCCAGACTCGATCTAATGCTGGTCATGAGCCGGTCGGGACTGACTGCACGCTGGCCCATCCTGATCATCGGCTGGGCCGGGGAAGGAGCGAGACTTTCCAGTTCTCCATCATGGCGGACAGCACGGGTTGGTTCCCAGTGCAACAGCCAGCACTTGCTGGCATCATCTGTCTCGTGACCTCTGGGTGGCGTCCGGTGTGACCCACACCAGTCCGAGCTTCGGTTCCTGCTGCTTTGGAGATACCCCGTGTCGCTGCCCTTTGGGTCTGAAGATGGTCCTGCTACCCGCAGGGGAAACAGAGGGGCAGTGGGGGCGCCGGCCGCCGCCCTCCCCGCTCACACACGCACGCAGCTTCCCATCGCGGCGGCTCGAGCGGGGTCCCCGCCCGCCTGCAGCTGCGTGTCTGCCCCACGAACCAGCATGAGGCCGCGTTTTCGCTCCCCACACGTTCCCGACTCCGTTCTGTGGTGTAGACAGACCGTGGCTGCTGAAGCTTCTGGAGGACCAGGGACCAGTGTTGACGCCAGTGGTGTTGATTGTGGCAAAGGGGGCAGGGACAGTCCAGGAACAGCCTGCCCCTGGGGTCACCATGCCAGGAGCAAGTTGCACCCTCACTTCCAAGTCGTGGGAGCTTGAGTGCGCTTCCGGGGAGGCCCCGCCAGGCCACCGGATCTGAAACCCTGATACCCCCCTCCCCTGTCCCTACCTGTTTTCTCCTTGTTAGCACTGACCGGCCACACATTTGGGTCCTGCTCTTCGTTTCCTCTGTCTCCGAGACAGGAGCATGAGCTCCGGGGTGGGACTCTGTCTCCCTCATTCACTCGCTGTCTACACGGCCCAGACGGTGCCGGACACGGAACGGGGTTTAAGTTATTATGTGGTCGATGTGTGAGTGGGGGTTCGTATTTCTGGAACATGTGCTGTGTCCTGGACACGGTGCTGAGTGCTGGACCCACATGCTCTCTCTGTGCCCCCCACCCCGTTTTGACTCCACCTCGGGCACCCTTTCTCCGCCAGACTTGTGCACCAGCACCCAACTCACGCACGCTGCCCCTCTGCGGGGTGACCGGGCCTCGCTACCTGACAGGTGGATCAGTAGCCCTCGGTTACAGTCCTTCACTTCAGTGGTCTGAATCCCTCCTGCCCTCTAGAAGCCCCGCCCCCGCCACGGCTGATAACACACGCCTGGGTTTTCCTGGGTTTTCCTATAAGCTGGGGTGCCCCTGCTTGTGTGGTCCCTGGCTGTCTGGTCTGTTCTGGGGCCCACCTCTGTGGGGACACTCCACCCCTGTGACCCTGGCCTGTTCTAGGCCTTCCCACACCCAGTTTATCCCAAACCGACTTTCTCTGGAGGCTGCTTGCACATGAACCCGACTGGCCACCACATCGACGTCCCTGAAGTTCACCGTCTCTCTGTGACTCCTGGGTTCAAGCCCTCCGGCCATCATCCAGACCATGGTGGTGTCAGTCTGCTGACAGTGCCCCCACCCCCTGGGCCTGTCCTCCTCGACCCCATCCCCCACACGACTGTCCCAGAGCTCTCGCCAAGGTGATCAGGGCGCTGACCACTGACGTGTTTTCCCACCCATCTCCTCAAGGGCTGTTGACTGGTCCTGCACGCCCCCCTGACCCAGCGTGAGGGTTTGTTCCTAAGACCGATCGGGGCAGAAGCCTCTGGAAGGAGATAGAAATAAGTAAAAATTGTAATCACTTGAAAATAGTCACAGCCTAACGTATATTACTGGGAAAAAATTTGCAAGAAAATATTCACAAGACAAAATAAAAAGGAATTCTCAAAACAGAAAAGAAATTACACGAGTCAGGCCAAAAGTGGAGAATTCCATGAAGGGACCTCAGGTGCCCCGCTTGTGATTCCCACTCTGCCCCGCGCTGCTGGAGGCCGCCAGCAGGGGGCAGACCTGAGAGCGGGCCGTGGGGTCCCGTCCTCTGGCAAGGCTCGCCAAAGGTACCAGTGGTAAAGGAGAAACAGAAATCACCTATTTCCCACCACCCAGAAACGACCCTTGTTTCCTCCTGCTGATAACTGTATGTTGGAGGTGACGCTGTGCACAGCCTCCCCTAACTTTAGGTCAACAGCATATGCTAACACTCTGCAAAACTCTGCACACCTTTCATTTTAATCACTAACGCTTCTCCGTGTCGCTGCCATATTTATTCTGACGCTGTCATTCTTGTTTTGCTTTGGTAAGAGCAGAACTGGGACATCAGTGCAGCCCTTGGACCCGGCAGGAGCAGAGGCAGGGGTGTCAGAACTGACAATAGCTCAGGTCTGATCCCAGGTCAGGGCCGTTGGGGGCTGGGAGTCGGAGGGGCCGGTGGTGACAGGGGACTGCTGTGTCCGAGTGCGCCTGTGCTCTTGGAGCTGCTGAGTGGTGACAAGAAAGGAAAAGTAGGAAGACCGTTGAACAGCACAGGTTTTCTCAGAAAGGGTGAGACCCCAGTGTTTCAGGCTCAGATAAGGGCTGAGTTCGTTGATGGATCCAGGCTCTGCGGGATGGGGGGAAGGAAGGGGAAGGGAGCCTGAAAGCCCCAGGGCATGGGATGCCAGGATCAGGATCGGGTGCACACGAGAAAGAAGACAGGATGACAGGGGGAAGTTTCCAGGGCAACTGCGTGCCTGTCTCGTGTAGCATCAGTATCTGGCAGGTGTGGCGTTGGTGGAGCACGTGTGTTGGTGTTGACTTACAGTTGGGGTATTTATGGACTTTTCAAAACTGCTTCCCGGAGTCAGCAAGGGTGTGGAAGGCGTCACTTCCTGGAGGCTAATGTGGTCCTTACACGGACGGGACGAGGTGGAGGTGAGGGCCCAGCTGTGGCGGGAAGGACTTGCTGGGCATGCGGGATGGAAGCCGGTCACAGCCCGTCCTGCAGAGAAGGTACAACATTGGGTTTTCTCAAGGTGGGCTAAGGGGGGACTCCGGGCGGGGGGGGGGGGCGCTCATTGGTTAAGTGACTGCCTTCGGCTCGGGTCACGATCCCAGGGTCCTAGGATCGATTCCCACATAGGGCTCTCTGCCCAACGGGGAATCTGCTTCTCCCTCTGCCTCTGCTCCCCTGCTTGTGCTCGCTCTCTCGCTCTCTGACAAATAAAATCTTTTAAAAAGGGGGGGGGTAAGTGGAGCAAAGGATTATTCAGTGCAGTATCTAGTTCATGGTGTACACCTCCAGCCTGTCAGTACCCACACCTGCCTGCCTTCGGATGCCCCCCGCCCTCAGAGAGAGGCCCCCTCCCGGCTCTGCACACAGTGGTAAGGGCCCACGCCCCTGCCACGGCCTTGACCTCACTTCTTAGCTTCTCCGACTCATTCCTTCTGCAAAATGAGGCGATACATGCCAATTTCCTGGAGTCGTCGGAAACTTTAACCAAGTCTCTGCGTGTAACACTCAGCGTGTGCCAAGCGCAGGACGAACAGGAAACGTCCGAGGTCCTCGAAGGCCAGAGGAGGCCACGGGAGCTCCCAGAGTGATCGGTACTTCCAGGCCCCTCCGGACTCCCATCTCTCCTCCACGTCTCTCTCCACACTTGGTAGCTACGATCGCGTGGTTTGCCGTGTGTGGGGGCTGCGTGTGCTCTGCTCGGGCCTGCTGAAGTCGACCCTGGCGCCTGTCTCACTCCTACAGCCCAGGAGCACCGCCCCATGCCTGGCCCACGTCGCACCTTCAGGGAATTCTTTGTGGATTTGAAATAAGCTTATCTGATGTAACACTCATGCATCTTATTTAATTTTTAATGAGTTTTTGTGATAAGAGTAACAAGCCCCCACCTAGTGAAAAAGAATCCAGACAACGCAAATAAAAATCCCCCCTCCACCCTGTTCACTGACCTGAAGGAACCGCTGTTGGGGACTTTCCAACCGGAGGCGGACCGGGGGGTTCTGATTACCTACCAGATCCTGTGCTTACTGCTGTGCAACTTCCGTGACGTACCAGCGCA